CAATGATACGCATGACAACAGCACGATAACGACTGTTGTGTCCAGTGTCCGAGATTGGCTAACCTATCAAACGTCCTGTCCAGTGTATTACGAGTGGAAAGACCTCGGTGCTCTCTACTGGCCAAGATGGATCAGGAGAGGAATGTGCAATGCCAAGGAGGCCAAGTGTAAAAACGCAAAGCCGATAAAGGATTCGTCTTGCTCGTGGCCACCTGGCATGAACTGCATCCCTGACAAGGCCAAAAGACTTCGCGTGCTTCGCTGGCAATGCCAACATCACAAGGCCGTATTTCATACTTTCCCGAACCCGGTTTTCAAGGGCGTGAAACCGCATCACATTGACGTATTGAAGAAAACTCTGGGCGTCTCGAATGTTGTGATGATTCCCTCCAGCCCACATCATGACGATGACCCACTTTTACATGTCTGGCGCCGTGAGGATGACCCTAACCACACCGAGAACTGGAAAAGACAGATATATGTGAACATCAAAAGAAAGCCCTACAGAAGATGTCGCTGGGGAAAGATTCCTTATCCTGTTACAGATGACTGTTACTGTTCCAGTTAAATCTGTGCATCTGTCTTTCTCTTGTTCGCAGTTGCTTGATACAATGTAATGTATTTAAAAAGACAAAGCATTGAACATTAAAATTTTCCATTTAAAATGGATTTCAAAACTTAATGCTTAAAATATTTGGTTATTTAATCTTATATATATATATATATATATATATATATATATTGATTTTTTTAAAAATTTGATTCAATCTGAACAAGGCGTCTAGAAAGCTTAACTATTTATTAAGAATAATTTCAACTTTCAAACTATTTTTGAATTGTCTACAAGTTTGATTGGCTACAGATATTTTAGTAGTTGTTATGAATAAATAAACACAATAGATTCGAAGACCATGTCCGCATAGTACCTCTTTAATACACTGTCTGACTACACAACACACATTTCGTGAACACATTCTTACGGACGAGTTAGAAGCACATGTAAACGTTAGAACGACAACCGATACAGTAAACAAGTTTCAAATAAGTATAATATAAAGCAGAAAGTAAGGCGTATGTATGTATGCATATCTCCTGAATAAAAATCAAAATCGTTTGGCCAATCTTGATAAAACTTGACAAAAATGTTCATTAGATCATGGCGGAGACCGTAGTGTATGTTTAATGTCATTCTCACAATATGGGGCCCTAAAAATAAATATAAAGAACCTAATTGTATCTCTATGAAAGAACGAAACAATTTAACATCGGTAAACCCGTTTTCAGATTATTTTAAATTTAATATGAATATGTCGGCTGAACGGGTAAACAAAAACTTATATAACTTACCCTTATTTTCGTGGCAAATAAAAAAAAAATGTGAAGGGAACATTCCCAATGTTCGACATAGATCTAAATTCAATCCAGTAGATTAGTAATACACAAACTAAAGCCCGCAGGCCGCGGGTCATATCCGGTTAGTATTATAACAATTGAGACTTAGATCAAGATATAGAAATCAGATTTGTTGTAAACTTTTTCAGGACAATGTTGTAGACAACGACTTCGTCATCTGGACTTTTGTTGTGTTGTATTGTCTACTAATTTCAAAATCTCATCTTATTTTATAGAATACAGACGTTACTTCAAAACAAAAAAGAAGATGATTACGTCCTACGCGTCATGCATTTAGTCATGCATCTAGTCATGCATGTTAACCCATGACCTAAATTCTGCCAAGTCACTGGTTTTCCTGGCTATCTCAGGCAACCCATTCCATGCTCTAATAGCACTAGGGAAGAAGAAGCATTTGCCCTATAATTGTAATCTTAAGCATGGTGATATTTTATACGATTAGTAGTCTCAAGTAAATGGGCATTCAGGGGTCTCAAACTCATTTCAACATGTGGGCCACAGTGAAAAGTAACAACCATTCGGCGGGCCGCACCACAAAAAAAAAATGTTTTTTTTCATTAAATTTTACGAACAATACCAGCATTGCAGTTAGATGCTAAAATAAAGTTTTTATAATTTTTAATTACATTTAGTGTAGTTTATTACATGCACAGGCAGTTTAGTTTACTAAAATAAGTTGACGTTGTCTCTGTCATTTATTAAAAAGCAGAAACTGTATTTCCTTAAAAACAACAACTTTATTTCTAGGCCTACTGCAGATGGATCGTCACTCATGTTTCTGTCCACTCAGCTGAGAGCGTTTGGCAGAGACCAGACCATCGACGTTAGGCCTGAAGTCGCGTGTATTGGCAAGCCGCAATGTTGCTCTCAGATGCTTATCAGTCAGTAATGCTGTTTTGTTGATCATTCTGGAAAAAAAACTGTTCGCAAACGTACGCACTCCCAAACATCGCTAGAATTCTAGCAGCTGCGCAGAATAAGTTTGAAAACTTCTCTCTGGGAAGAAACTGGTAGAAATCTGGAACACCAACATCAACGTATTTTTGCTTCAGAGCAGTGTCACACTGCAGGTCTAGTAGTTCCATCTGGACTTCTTCTGGAACGTTTTTCACTTCAACTGCGAACGGAGTGGCAACATGGAAAAACTGTGGTTCGAGAGCAGTGAATTGCTGAAAGCGGTTTTCAAAATCTTCCAGTAGTCTGGAGAGGATGTCTACGTAGTCTTTCAGGCGCTGTGGTTCAACCGTAATGCTCTGTAGAAAACACTAATGAGCCAGGTTTCCATCTGCCAGCTGAGTGGCCCAAAAAGTCAGCTTGCATCTGAATAATTTGATGCGGTCAAATATCACGGTACTCAGCTGCTTTGTGCCCTGTAGTTGTGAATTGAATGCATTGAGATGTTGCGTGATGTCAGTAAGAAAAGCAAGATCCGACAAAACATTGGGTCACTGATCTATGTCTCCGTCTTTCATTGCCATGAACAATGCTATTTCCCGTCTCAGTTCAAAAAATCTCTGCAGCACTTTTCCACGACTCAACCATCTGACTTCCGTATGATACAGCAACTCTCCGTATACCGTTTCTAAATCAGCTAGACATGACACAAACTGTCTGTGGTTGAGACCCCGTGCACGTATGAAGTTCACCGTCTTCACGACAACATCCATCACGTTCTTCATTTGTAGACTTTAGCCACAGAGTGCTTCTTGGTGCAGAATGCAGTGTATGGCTGCAAAAGGTCCCGCCAAGCTGAGCTGATTCCGTTTCTCTACCATTAATCCAACAACACCAACCTTCTCTGAACACATTACTGGTGTGTAGCCACTGAAACAAGTTTTTTCCCACGGTAGCCCACACCAGTCAATACAGTTTCCAGTTCTTGAAACACGTCGGGTCCATTCGTCGTTCCTTTCATACCTAGTAAGTCCAAAAGCTCTTCAACAATGTTCAAGTTTCCTTCGACCCCACGAATCAATACGGCAAAGTATGCGGTGTCTGTTACACCGGTAGACTCGTCCACTGCAATGGAATATGCTAGAAAGTGTTTTGCAGCGGCAATCAGTTGCTGTTGAACATTTGTCGCTGACTCGGTGATCCTGCTTGCAACTGTGTTCGAAGACAAACTTATGCCTTCGAAGAGTTTCTTTTTCTTGGGGCAGATAATTTCACACGCCTGTAGCATACACTCTTTTACAAACTGGCCTTCAGTGAATGGTCGAATTGCCATATCGCTAACAACAAAGCTTGCCTTCACAGAATCTTCGCTTGCAGTGGGCGGACACCTCATTTACTGATTTGTGCAGTTGTAAATCATTTCACGGCTTATATGTGGTCATTGCATATTTTATCTATTTTTTTTAAATTCGCGGACGTGGCCGCGGGCCACACAAAATTGATTCGCGGGCCACGTGTTTGAGACCCCTGATTTAGACTATACCTATTTTATTTCGGTCTATATCAGCCATTAGAAAGGGCCACCCAGAATTCAATTTGACTCCAGTAACACACCCTTGTGCTCTATCTTTACGTCTGCTGGTATGTTTGTGAACGGTTTCTCTCCCCTTGTTATCCAGTCAAACGTTCTAAATGCAGGCGATACTTTATCAGAGAAGTAGACATTATCTTCCTTTTTTTATGCGACCGCATTCAAAAAATTTATCTGGTGACAAACATTTCAATTCTTCATCAAGGCAAACAAGATAAGAATAAAATTCTATCATCCGTACTGTTTTTTTTTTTTAGCTTTAGACCACAGACTTGTATCTAGACTGGACATTGAAATCTTTAACACAATACAAAAACGTCGCGTGTAGCTTTAAAAAAGCTGAAACAAGGCGTTGTTTTGTAAAGTAGTTATAAGAAGTAGAGTGTTGTTTTTTTCAACCCTAACCTATGTAACATATAATTTAATGTTTAGATTTAGATCTAGAAGTAAAACATCTAAAATAAAAGCACTCTCGTCTCAAAATTATTATTTTTCAATTTTTAGATACATAATCTAGAAAGATCTAGGTAATCAATCTATTTAAATGTACATAAGATGACTAAAATCAATAGACATGAATTATTTCGATCTAGGATTTTCGAAACATTATCTCAACGGAAACTAATGGCTTTATATCATAGATTTGCGTGAATATATAGTTATGTGATTTTATGAAAAATCCGCAAAATGGTTTTGCATTATTTCTAAACTTTGAAAACTAAAGATCATTACAGAAAATATCGATTTTCCTAGATTCGGGGCGACTTCCCTTATAGTTTGAAAAATAATTACGTGATAACATCTGCATTTATAGGTCTGTGATCAAATCATTATCGAATAAGAATTGGTTTCCGTTTTCCAGTCATGGTGTAATATATATAGGTCTGTGAGCAGACGTCTTAGTCTATAGCCTCAGTTTCAAACCAAAGGTTAATTTATTCCATTGTGCTCATTGTTTGCAAATTACAAAACTAAATTGCTGTCTGCTTCTGTTTAAAAGCTTATTTTGGTATTTCACAATATTACAAGGAATTCATGTAAATTAAATACAAATTGAAACTGTAACTGTAGGAAAACAGACAATTGAACTTCCGGCAATCAGACAATTGAACTTCCGGCAATCAGATTGGGAGGTGTACGTTAAACTATTCTTTATTAAACTTTTTTAACGCGAGAGTTTGACAGTGTTTTTTTTTAAAGCACTTGCAGACGTCTGCAGAATTGACGAGGCTTCTGAGAGATACTAATATCAAATCTTCTTTATTTTCACACAGTAAATGTAAATCTTCGCTCCTCAAGAGAAAGTCAAGACTAAAGTAAAAAAAACATTCACAGTTTATGTTCTTTTATGGATAGTATGGGGGGGGGGGGCGGTGTGGCTGAGTGTTTAAGCGCTTCGCTCCCAAACCCGTGGTCCTGGGTTCGAATCCCGGTAAAGACTGGAATTTTGAATTTGGGGCACCCCTGCGTCTACCTAACTCTAATGGGTACTGGCAACATCCCACTCTACTCGTTAACTGTTGGCCAAAGAAACAGATGCCCCTAATCAGACTGCACTTTAAAAAGCTTTTTACATTTGAGAGATAAAATACCCAGAAAGACACAAAGATAAAAGTTCTGTTAAGTCTTACATTTTTATAGTATCGTCTTCATCCACCACTATTGAAAGGTTAGTTGTCATGGTTACTTATGTTTACAACTGTACAATATCTATCATGGGTCTATTTGTCTGTTGTATGAGTGTAAATGGTGCAGCAATTTGATGTAGAAAATAAGAAAAAAAAATCTTTCCCGTCCGGATTACATTTAACTCAAAACACAAACAGAAACTTGTGTTTACAAAATTCCAGTCTAGGTTTTTCTTTGCCTCTTATGTTTGACGAACAATATTCTAATTCTAAGCATTGGTGCTCAGGGTAAGTTTTGTTTTGTCTTGTCATAGACTTACCGTACCGGTGTATTGGTTTATTAATCAACCAGAACAAAATAACAATGTCTAAACTATAGTTTTCAATTGAAAAAGAATAACTCCCTTTTTGAAATGGAATTTCTATTTCCATTTTGTTTTCAAGTCTAAAACGTAAAATTTTCAGGTTTGAAATCTAATTAGTTTGGTCTAGATTCTCAAATGTTTCCTTTAGTGGAACACTTCGCACATTCTGAGTCATTAGCGGAACATTTCGCTTTTTTTTAGATAGACTAATTCACGTGGGAGCATACAAGTACTAGTAAACTATTCCAGTAGTTCGTGAAACCCTATTTAGGCCTCGTGGAATAATTGGATTCCGCAGAACACAGCTTGGGAGACACTGGTCTAGATGTTTAGGGTGATTAGAAAAAATGACTTCGTTTGAAATGAATTTCAAACAAGTTTTTGTTGTTGTTTTAAACTGCTGGAATGCCAATTCAAAGTTGGCCAAAAATTTGAACTGCTTTGAAGATTTAAACTATTTTAGAAACCAAGCAACAAATAAGTAAATCTAGATCTAAAACAATTACGTTGCCCTGTCTTTAAAAATCCTTGGTGGGCTTTTAAAGTCTGAAATGGTATCCTTCAAGTAGCGCATCATTGAAAAGTGGTCTGTTAGGCAAACTATTGATTACCATCACCATGGTCCTGAGCTCAAACCCTGCCCTCATTCCTTGTACCAGCTAGTCCTGATACCTCCGTAGGCCAGAGATTATAAGCAATAGATGAAAAGGTTGATGGTGACTACTTTAAACAGCCCATATTTAAGTTGAAATACGTTCCCCTTTTCTGACAGTGCAATGTATGGGGCAGATAATGAAAAGGTCATCTGTCTCCTGTTCACAAGAATGCCATGTGGCTAGCACAACGACTAACTGCTTTTACTTTTCCCCAACTAATATCAGGTATCTATTGAAGCTGGGTCGACTCAGCGGCGCCCAAAAAAATCTAAAGTTAAAAAAAGCCAGTCTTCACCAGGGTTCAAACCCAGGACCCTCCGGTTCAGATGCTAAGTGCTTTTCTTTTACCATTCAGCCACAGCGTGGAACATAAAATGTATGGCACTCAGAAAGAAAAAAAGTTTTTTAATTAAAGTTATAAAACTGAATTTTTTTTTTCTTTCAGTTTTTAAAATGCTTTTATGAATTCACTCTGTCTGTCTGTCAGCTAAAAAGTTTGTATATGTTATTTCTCTAACACCCCATTTCGGATCAAACTGAAATTTGCAGAATATCATTTCTTTTACCCAACAACACAAGAATCAATTACAGATTAACCAATTAGTGAATTAACTATTGGTAATTAATTATTTTATTTGGCATCTCAAACAAGTGAAAGAATTTGTACTTGACTGAAGTGGTGGTATAAGCTGAATTAGTCCTCTTTATAGGTCGTCGTATGAGTCTTAGTGAACACAACATGAAAAATAGGACGAGACTATAGAAACAATAGATAATTAATGATAATAATTGTTAATAAGCACTCCACTAGCAGAGTGGTTACCGTGTTGGCTTGAGAAGCCTGTGAAAGATTGAGCCATCAGTTCAAATTCAGGTCGTCCCCCCGTTTTTAATACTATTTTTATAAATGCTAGATCTATTAAAAATGTAATTACTTGAATGATCCAAACTAATTGCTACAACTTTACTTAAATTAAGCTTTGTTTTTTAAATAAGTATTCTTTTTTATGTTTTCTTGTTATCTTTCTGAGACTTGAAAATATACGAAAAGAATTTTGTTGGAATAAAATCTTCCACTTTCAAAGCCTACACTTGGTAAGGTGGTGTCTAATTAAAGATTTAGAGGCCAAGTTTTTCAAAAATATGTGGATTCACTTAATGTACCAATGTTTTCAACAGTGTGTAGAATAAATTAAAACTTGTAAATAGTTCAATATTGAATTGTGAATAATTAAAAGTTTAATATAAAGAAATGAGTTTCTTGAATTCAAGATATCTGTGTATATGCTCATATAAAAATGATAGTATTTAAAAAAATGTATTAAGTTAACTAAAACAAGTTAGTACTATTGTACTATATCACATTAATATAATCTGAAAGTTGGACAGACTGAATACTGTTGTATTTACATAGTCTGATAAACACATCTTATTTGAATATTTTTTTTTAGTTTTACAATAAATTGTGTAAGACAATGCCTTGGCTTATTCAACATTATTATGTCAGACAATGACAACTTGTTTCAGTGTCATTCTCTATTAAAGAATGTTTCAATGTTATATCTACTTCTGTAATTGTTTTAATGTCATATTATCTTCTAGCACTGTCAAATAATGTTCTAATAGCTTTTTTTTATATTCAGATGTGACCTCATCTGTTTCAATGTCATATTATATTATCTTTCAAATAAATAATGACATAATTGATTGCTTTTTTTTTTTCCAGCTTTAACTTTTTAATTTTTTTGTTTGTTGCTTTTCTTTCACTAATAGAGGTTTGAACCAAAACTTTCCAATCACTCGCTCCAAGTTGATGTCAGCTGTTAAACCTGGACTTAAAAAAAGCAAAATATAAAAATCCTTTTTAAAAAAACAAAAAACAAAGCTTATCTAAAGGAGAACTCTGCCTTAAAACAACAAGTATTAACAATTTGCAAGTTATTTCCCTTGTTAGATATCTAACAAAATAATTAATTATCAACAATTAATTGACTAATTGCATATTTTGTTTATTGACTCATGTTTTGTTAGGTTTAATAAATAATTGCTTTAAGTATCAACTTGATCAGAGAATGCATGAGGGAGAAATAGCGTTATCAATTTTTAAGGAGATTAAACACAACAATATCTGTGAATACTGAAGGATTAGTTTCCCTTGTTGGTATCAAACAAAATAATTAGTTTTTTCTCATGTCTTGTTTATGCTAATGAATAATTGTGTGAAGTTTCAACTTGGTCCTAGAATCAGTGTGGGAGTTAAAAGATAATCTACTTCCTAGTCCAAACCTCCCGCAGGACGACAGGGAATGGCAGCTGGCAGGGTATGAACCCTGGAACATTGAGACGAATGAACAAAAGTCAAGGATAATAACGCAAGACCAGGCAGCCATTTTAACCTAATGTCTGAAATAGTTAAGGCGGGGGGGGGGGGGGGGGGGGGGGGAATGAGCTGTGGCGACGATTGCCACCCATTTTCCCTAAACAGATGGTGGTGGGATCTATTTTTCTTTGTCAAAAAGGATTTTATTATTAAAATACATTTGCTGCTTTTGATAGTTTCCAGCATCTTTCTATCAATGTGTACACCAAATATAAGGGTGGTGAGGCTGTACCACTTTTATAAATTCTATATGACTTTATCCCCCCCACCCCTTGTATTATTCTTATTTCACTGTTTGGGCCTGATGGAGACATTTTCACAAGCTTCTCGCACCTTGTTTTGAAATGTGATTGTAAGGCTCTAACACAACATTTATTGTATCCACTACCAGGTTTTAAAATTTACAAACTCATTTATTTTTCTTACATTTTCTTATATCATTTAGTAAGAAAATGTACATTTTTCAAAATAAAAAAAACAATTTTAAGCTGAGTGGTTAAGTGTTTGTTTTCCAAACCTAGAGTCCTTGATTGGAATACCAGTGAAGACTGGGATTTTCAATTTTTAAAGTGCCCCTGAGATCACCCAACTCTAATGAGTACCTGACTTTAGTTGGGGAAAATAAAGGCGGTTGGTCATTGTGCTGACCACATGACACCCTGCTAGTTAACTGTTGGCCATTTAACCTTAACATCATCTGCACTATAGATCACAAGGTTTGAAAATAGGAACTTTACTTTGACATAGTTAAAAATGAAATCCCTTAATGAAAAACTCAGTCTATGAGTATATTAGAGGAGTGGTTCTCAAACTGTGGTCTAAAGACTCCCCCTCCTCCCCACAGAGGTGCATGAGACATCTGTAGAGGTCTGCAGAAAAATTAAAATTGTATACAATTAAAATAACATCTTTGCTAAAATCCAGTTTATCCGATCTGATAATGTTAATAATAATCAACTAGCCCTTCACTGCAGTTTAATATGTCTATTACAAACTATTCTATGACGACCTAGCGCAAAGAATAAAAAAAATTCCAGTTGGATATTCCCGACTGGATATTGAACCCTTTTGCTTATGGACCAACTCAGATCCGAAACACACAGTCCAAAAATAGAGTAGCAGCTTATTGAAATATTCAAAGTTGAGGAACTTGAACTAAAGTTTAAATAAAGATAACATAAAGTTTGGTTACAAAAACAGATCCTAACTCTGCATACCATATTATGGATAATTGTACGGTAGTTCTACATTTTCATGTTTGGTACAATGTGGATTCATTGCCGAATGAACCTCATCACAAATAAAAATAACGGACTAGAAATTTGTGCTTGTTGATATTTGT